TCTCTCTCTCTCTCTCTCTCTCTCTCTCTCTCTCTCTCTGTCTCTCTCTCTCCACACACACACACACTGGATCTTACCTTCTTACACTCTTTCCATCATCTTTTCCACAATGATCTCTCAGCCGTGGGAGGTGGGGTATGGAATATTCTGAAGCCTCTTATCAACTGCAGGTCTCTGTATTAATTAATCACCATCTATGTCTTAGGGTTTCTATTGCTGCAATGAAACAGCATGACCAAAAAGTAAGTTGGGGAGGAAAGGCTTTATTGGGCTTACACTTCAGCATTGCTGTTCATCAGGGAAGGAAGTCAGTACAGGAACTCAAACGGAGCAGGATGCCAAAGGCAGGAGCTGTTGCAGAGGCCATGAGGGTATTGCTTACTGACTTGCTTCCATTGTTTTTCTGGGCTTGATTTCTTCTATAACCCGGACACCTGCCCAGGGCTGGCACTATCCACAATGGGCTGGGCCCTTCCCCCGTTGATCACTAATTGAGAAAATGCCTTACTGCTGGATCTCATAGAGGCATTTCTCAACTGAGGCTCCTTCCTCTCTGATGACTCTAGCTTGTGTCAAGTTGACACACAAAACCAGCGAGTATGCTCTCCTTCATAAAGAATTTTCTTTTGTGATGCTGTTGGTGTTTTGTTTTGTTTTGAGACAGAATTTCTCTGTGTAGCTCTGGCTGTCCTGGAACTTGCTCTCTAGATCAGGCTGGCCTTGAACTCACAGAGATACACCTGACTCTGCTTTCCAAGTGCTGGGAATTCAAAGCATGCACCACTATTGCCTGACTTCAGTTTCTTTATTTTAAAACCATTCTGACCATGTCTGAGCATCCAGCTCCAAAGCACAAATCCCATCCATAACATCATGCAATCAAGCCAGTCCTGCTACCATCCGCCTTCAGAACTCTCTGTCTTCCTAAACTGAAACTGTATCCCCATGAGCCGCTCGCTTAGTCACAGTTCCTTCCAGTCTTGGCACTCCATCCTGCTTCCTGCCCCAGTAGACCTGAGACTATTGGGTCCCCAGCAGGAAACTTAGGCGGTGTTTGTCTTTTGATATCAACCAGCTCTTTGCAGTCGGGGCTCTGGAGGGGCATCCAACATATGGGAGGTTCTCCTTCCTCTTTACGGTGTCCGGGTAGACTGTCAGTCAATGCATGGCTGCCTCTGCTTCCAAACACCTTGGCTCTAATGTGCCTTTTGCTGGTCGTTGGTACTGTGGAGTGGTGAGTGGAGGTTTTGAGGAACTTTTCTGTAAATTTCAAATCAACGACATCTCAAGGGAGCAAGGAAGTCGAGGAACCTGGGTGTGGCCCTCACCGGAAGAACTCAGGCAAGGGGTGGTTTAAAATGCCTCCTAGCTGGCTAGGGCTGCACCTGGGCTGCAACTGTTAAGTCTCACGTTCAGCATCCCAGCCCTGGTCTGTCCTGCCTCTGTCTCTGATGGCCAGACTGGAACATTTGCTGCTGCCGCAGGGGCTGCTTCTGTGGGTGAGTGGAGGCACAGCAGGGGGGTGGGGACCCCAGCTGGGTTCTGGCAGGCTGTCATTCCCAGAGCAGTATGTGTGACTGGGCCTAGAGGTAATAATGGGTCTCCTTTTCCAGCTCTTGGCCTGCATGGTGGAGGTAGAAGATTAGATGAGAGGATCCAACACCTAATGAGACAAAGTTAATTTATATCCTTAGCTTTCATTGCTACAGTGGTTTTTTTGCTATCTAGCTTTTCTTTTTCTTTCTTTTCCTTCTACTTTGTTTTCTTTTTTCTTTTCTTTCTTTTTTTTCATTTTTTCTTTTTTTTTTTAGACAGGGTCTCACTATATATCTTTGGCTATCCCAGGGCTCACTATGTAGACCAGACTGGTCTCGAGTTCACAGAGATCTGTACACCTCTGCTTCCTGAGTGCTGAGACTAAAATCATGAGTCAATATATCTAATTTTTTTTTTTTACAAAACTGGTTTTATTATTTCCTGAGACTCCTTTGTCCTTTCTCACCTTATAAAGGCTTTTTTTATTTTAGTTATATGTGTATTGTGAGTCTGTGTACATGTGTAAGGGGCCAGTACAGGCTATGTACATGTTGTGAGTCTCTGTACATGTGTAGGAGCCAGTGCAGGCTATGTGCATGTTGTGAGTCTGTGTACATGTGTAGGGGACCAGTACAGGCTATGTACATGTTGTGAGTCTGTGTACACGTGTAGGGGACCAGTACAGGCTATGTACATGTTGTGAGTCTGTGTACATGTGTAGGAGCCAGTGCAGGCTATGTGCATGTTGTGAGTCTCTGTACATGTGTAGGGGGCCAGTGCAGGCTGGTGAGCATCTAGAGGTCTAGTAACTCTAGACCTAGAGTTACTGATTATTGTGAGCTGTCTTCTGCAAGAACAAGCACTCTTAGCTGCCGAGCCATCACTCCAGCCCCTCGTTTTCTTATTTTTAATGTTTTTTATGATATTATTTTTTGTGTGGGGGATGTGGGGGGCCAGGCTCACTTGTGGTGGTTAATGGACAGTTGTCAGGAGTTGATCCTTTCCTTCAACCTTGTGGGTCCCAGGAATCAAACGTAGGTTGTCAGGCTTGCTGCCTAGCACCTTTCCCACTAAGCTATGTCGCCCGTCCCTTCCTCCTCCCTCTTTTGAGACAGATGCATAATGTCTGTCCCAGGCTGGCCTCTACCTCCTGTTTCTCCTGCCTCACTTCCTGACTGCTGGAATCCTGACTACCCCTTAGCATTTTCCAAGTGTGATTACCTCCCCAGATTGTGTTGTCAGGGTACATAGGCCTGTAACCCCAAGACACAGGAGGATCAGGAGTTCAAAGTCACCCTCAGCTACACAGGGAGTTGAAAGCCAGCCCAGACTATAAGACACCCTGTCTTCAAAAAAAAAAGATATTAATATTTTGCATTGTTACAGTAGCTGATCTGTGTGAGAAACTGACAGAAACAGGCTGGCTCTGGGTTAATCTCACCCCAAAAGAGTGAAAGTAGTCACCACTTGAAAATGGCACTCTCTGCCTAACTGTGTGCTTAGATTCTCTCTCCTAGAAAGTAGTGCCTCCCAAATTGCTGGCCTTCAGTTAGTGGACCTCAGCAACCCCTGGAGTTCTGTGAACCCCCAGGGCATCATGTGTCCTCAGACTAAGTCCCTTGGGGACTTACATGGACGGGCACGTGATTCTGGGCACTTTCTCAATGTTGTGAAGTTCTTGAACCCTGGAAAGAGACCATAGACTCAATCCAATTATAATGAAAAGATTTGTTGATTACTGCTAGCGTGACAACAATCTCTGAGCCAAACTTGATATTTCAATGAGAAGTGGAGGTGAAGGCTTTTCTGTTGTTGTTTGCTTGTTTGTCTTGTTTTTAAGGCAAAACCATAAGAAGACCTTGAGTATCTGCAGAAACAGGCTAAGAGCTGTTTTGATCTGCCAACATTAGATAGTCAAGGTAACCTGAATGTCTGCATGAACAGGTTACAGAAGCAGAAGAGAGTTAGTCCTCACATAACAAGAGGATGGTCACCGTACATTTCTAGGTGGGGGAACACCGAATCGGGAGTCCTGTGAGAATTCTGAGTGCTTATGAGAAAACTCCAAGAAAACAAGACAAGAGTTTTGTGACCTCAGTTTCTTTCAAACCATGACATTGTTCTCGGAAGATGTTTGTTTCCATTGCCCTCCCAGGTGTAGAAGGTATCAGTGAGTCCACTTCGGATTGCCCATTACAATCCGAATTTGTTTATTTGCCTCCTCGGCAAAACATGTTTTTGCCACATGTGTCTTGTCCTTGTGATGGTACACTTTACTCATGTGACTCCTCTTAACCAGCAGAGAATAAATTATTTGATGCTCTAAATAAAGTTGGCAATTGTGTGAGACTTGTCTAGCTGATTTATCAGCTCCATTCTCCCAGGTCCCACCAACTCTAGAGCCCAGGGTTACCAAGAGCTTCTCTTCCAGAAACTGTAGTCAGACAAATGACCAGTAGATATCAAGATGGATGTAGTACCAAATGGAGGTTTTTGTGGTTTTCAGGTTTTTTTTTTTTTCAGCCATCATATCAGAATGTGAAGTATAACCCTCCCCTTCCTCTTGGTGGCTTCCTTTGCTTTCAGAACGGCAGCTGCAGTGAGTCACTGTGGGAAAAGCAGCCTGAATTGTGTTGTTTACGAAACCTAGCGGAAAGGAAACCTAGCAGAAAGATGGTGCTGTTCTTTTTCAAACTTTGATTTTCCCTTGTCGGGCTGTCCAGGGAGCTACTCCTGTTGGGTTTACAGGAAAGTGCCAGCATGTTCAGTACTTTTTTTCTGGGTTCTAAGAATCAAGGTCCATATGCTTGTTAGACAAGCGTTTTACAACTGAGCCATCTCCCGGTTTCATCATTTGGTGCTTTAAACTGGACGTGACTGCTCAGCCTGTAATCTCAGCATTTGGGGAAGTAGGGACAAGAGAATCACTATTTCAAAGTCATCCTCAGTCGTGTAGTGAGAGCCCAGCCTGGTTTGTGTGAGACCATGTCTGACAACAGCAGCAGCAGCAAATCAAAGAGGAGAGCCATAAATCTCTTGCCATGCAGTCTTGAGGACTAAAGTTCTGCTCTCTATAAACAATGTAAATTGTAGGCCACCTGTAACCCCATTCCTCAGGAAGCCAAGAGAGGCAGGGCTTCCCTAGGGCAAGCTCTGGATTCAGTGAGCGACCTAGCCACAGTAAGCTGAGTGGAAAGAGATGGAGGGAGACACCCAATACCAAACCCTGGCCTCCCCATACACATGCATACAAAGGCAAGGGACCCACACATGTGCCCGCACCTGAGTGCGTACCACACACATACACACACAAAATAAATAAAGGAGAACACTGAATGAAAATGAGGACATGATCACCCCTAGGTATGGTTGAGGAGAAGGTTTTTATTGTAGATATGAGGGAGAGAACAGACAGAAGCATCCGGAAAAGTCCAAAACAGGGAGAGAGGGTAGTAGACGGGACATGGCCAGTAGACTGTACCAGGCATGAGAGGAGAGAAGGAGAGGGAGGGTGGGAGAGGAAGAGAAGTGAGAGAGGGCAAGAGGACTAAGAGGGGAGCCAAGGACCAAGAGTCCAAGAGAGTTCATGGTCGAAATGACAGATTCTTATTGTTATGATCTGCAGCGAGTTAGACCACAGCAGGTTGGTTCAAACCATAGCAGGGGATGGAATAGCCATGCAGACAGAGTTTGGATGTTGAGTTTATTAAGAGGAGAGGGGAGGGAGGACAGAGAGAGAGAGGGAGGGAGGGAAGGTGGGGAAGAGAAAAAAGGAAGGAGAGGGGCAGAGACCTTTCTCTTCAGAAGAATGATGGGGAAGGGAGGAGAGAGACAGAGAGAGAGAGAGAGAGAGAGAGAGAGAGAGAGAGAGAGAGAGAGAGAGAGAGAGAAAGCATGCAGGAGTGGGTGGAGTTTGTCTCTTAAAGGAACCTTTGCACCTGCTTGTAGTCAGGGAACTGCTTGCCATTTGCAGAGGGGTGCCAGGTCCCCAGGGTCAGGGCCATTGTGTGCCTGGATACTAATACTTATAGAAAAGAGAAGCTGGGGAAAGGGAAGGGAAGCTGGGGGTTTGGAGAGGTTTAGGGTAGACGGTGGGGGTGGGGTGGGGAGAGAAATGCTGAGAGCAGCCAGGACTCTGTAACAGGTACCTGTGATACTGCAAGAGCCTGGCAGCCAGCAGTTAGGGGTGCACCTTGGTATGTTTATGTTAAAAAGTCACCACGGTTAGCCATTTGTCCTGAGTTTCTTTGGGACCTCATTTGGTAGCCCCGAACTAAGGATCCTCCTGCCTCTACCCTCCAAGAGCTAGGAACACAGGCATGTGCCACTGGATCAATGCTACACAGGGCTGAGGATGGAAACCCCATACATGTTAGGCAAGTGTTCTGCCAACTCAACTACATCTTCAGCCCCTCAATCATATTATTTTATTTTGAGAAATTTGGCAGTGCTAGGAACCATACGCAAAGTCTTGCCCACGGTAGGCAGGCAGTCTTAAACTCAGCTACGTGACCCCTCCCCTATTTCAATCTCCAAAGGCATCAATGCCCTTTGAACAACAAAACAAAGAAAGTCTGAGAAGGAAGCACACACCTGTAGTCCAGCTATTTAGGAAGCCAAGGCAAAAGACTTGGTCCAGGAGTTTGAGTCTAGCCTGGTGTGGGGGAATGAATAAGAATGCCACACAAAGGGTCATATATGCTTGAATGCTTAGTCACTAGGGTGGGACACTACTAGGGTGGGATTAGTAGGTGTGACCTTGTTGGAGGAACTGTGACTGGGATGGGGGGGGGGCTTTGGGGTTTTACAAGCTTGAGTCAGGCCAAGTAGCTCTGTCTTCCTGCTGCCTGCATCTGGATGTACAACTCTCAAGCTACTTCCCCAGCATCATGTCTGCTTGCATACCACCATGCTTCCCGCCATGATGACAGTGGACTAAACCTCTGAAACTGTAAGCCAGCCC